TGGAACTCTTCCTCTACTTCACCTCCATCCTTCAGAACTTCTCCCTTCGCCCGCTGGTGCCACCTGCTGACATCGATATCACCCCCAAGATCTCAGGCTTTGGCAACATTCCCCCAACCTATGAGCTCTGCCTGGTAGCCCGCTGAGCGCCCCCTACGCAAAAGGAACCATGGAGAGCTCTGCCCAAGTATACAGGGGCATCCACCCCCATCTCCTTAAAATCTCTCAACAACCCTAAGAGAAGGTGCTACTGTCGTGGGGCCACAGGTCAGTGAGGGTCACTTGAAAATATAGAGCTGCTTATCTTCTAGAAAAGCCAGGCCCTGTCCAACCTTTCAGCAACAACCTGGAGAATTTGCATTCTCCTGTTCACCTCTGCCTAGGCTTTCTGTCTCCACCAAATTCTTGTTGTCGATTCTCTGCCTTTATGCTGTCCCTTTGTGTGTGCACACTGATATTGACCCAAATGCAGTTCACACTTTCTTCCTAATTATCCTCTCTTACAAAATAAAATTAAAATAGCAGGTATATCAAGGTTGTTCTGTGTAGCTGACTTACTGTGTGTTCTATGTTACATCACTGCAGGGCATAGAAAACAACTTAAGATAACCATGTAGACACACTTGTGACTTATAGCCCACCAGAGATTTCCCATTGGGTGGGGCCACCCTGTGTAACACTCCATTCTCAACCATCTTTTGGCTTATTGCCCCTCCCCACATCAATTATCTCTCCTCCTAAACCTGCTTTCCTAGTTTAGAAGGAATTTCTACCACAGCTTTTATTCCAAATTCTCCCCACTCTATTTGGAAGAACAGTCCAGCCATCTCCGACTTGTATTTCATTTCCAAACTCCATCAACTTGCTCAGCTTATGAAAGTCTTCCCTTATATTTTATTTTATTCAAGAAATATTTATCAAATACCCAATGTGACCAGCACACTCTTCAGGTACTTGGGATCCATCAGTGAACAAAACAGACTAAAACCCCTGCCCTCATGGAGTTTCACTGCAGTGGGAGAGGTAGACAATTAAGAATAAACATAATGAGTAAATGATGTGGTATGCTAAAACAGCAATGATTCCAAGATTGGGACTGTAAATGGGTGATCAGGGCTGGTCTCACAAGGCAGTGGAGCAGCAATTCATACAGATATCTGGGAAGGGATGTTCCTGGCAGAGAGATTAAAATCAGCAGAGGTGGAATGCAGGAGGCTGCCTGTGGGTTCAGGATTCCTCAAGGAGACACATATGGCTGGAGTGAGGGAGAAAGGGAAAGTATAGGAGTAAATAGGATGAGGGTACAAAGTTAAAGGGCCATATTGGGTGGAGCCTTGTGGGCCTTCTTGAGAACTTTGGCTTTTATCCTGAGATGGGGGGATCTTTGTAAACACAGGGTGGCATATGCTGACATATTTTAAAAGGCAAGCTCTAGCTGCTGCATGGAGAATAGATTGAGGGAGAGGGTAGCAGAGATACCACTTGTGTAGGTGGGGAGAAGTGAGTGGATTTGAAATCTGTTGTGAAGACCGAGTCAACAGGGTTTACTGATGACTTGGATGTGGAGTGGAAGAAAAAGAGGGTCAGAGATAAGACAACATCTTTCAGAATCTCTCAGCCTCACACCTTCCAGGCCCATGAACCCCCATACCAGTTAGATTTATATTTTTAGGGAATATGAATGGGCTTTAGCTACTTAAGTACATAAGGTTGCTGGTTACTGTAAAGTCATCAGTAAGTTCATATTGTTTTGTGAATTCTGGAAATACAGGCTCAAAATATGAGTAGGAAAAACAAGAAGCTGTGTTGGAAAACTCCAATCAAGGTCACAGCCAGACGCACTGGCTAGTCGCATTTCACCTTCTCCTCCCCCAACTCCTGCAACTCTGGGCACCGAACACCACTGCTAGGGGACTCTTGACCCATTGTTTCCACTGTGGACAACTTCATAGTTGTATTTGTGTTTTATGTTACTTTCTCAATATTCAAATTCCCAGGCAGAACTATCCAATTAATCACATATTAAGGCCTTGGGATTCAGGGTGCAGTGAGGAAGAATAAATGCCCCTTCTGTTGCTGCGGTGGGAGGCCAAGCCTTACCCCTGGTCAAGAATCTCACAATAGCAGACTTCCCGAAATTGGAAGGGATGTTGAGAATGGATAGATGAGAAACAACAAATGCCATTATACACAACATGTCCATTGGATCTTCTGGGATGCAGAGACTGAGGTAGAGTTTGGAGAACAAGCATTTCATGGAAGGATAATGCCTGTGAAAGACGAGAGTGGGCCGAAATAGATTGAATCAGGACATCTTCAGACCAGGATGCAGATGTAACACCCATGAAAGGAAAGAAGAGATGAAGGAAGACTGGGCAAGGAGATACCCAGATCTCCATGCAAAGTTAATAGAGTCTCATTATATCAAAAAAGTACATTTAGATTGAAGATTGCTGTTGGGGTGTCTCATGTTGGGCAAGAAGTGGTCATGCATTGGATCCCAGCCGTTCTCAGTTGCTGGCTGGGGCTTCCTAGGAAGAGCATGGGTTCTGCACCATCCAGAAGGTGCTACAGCTGGAGGCTGTCCGTTCAGGGCTCTCCTTACAGCTGAATGGCAAGTTCTTTACTGAAGGGAGAGCTGGGTGTCACATCTTCGTGCCTGCCGCAGACACAAACATACAAATACACATCGTTTAAGTCTGGGTGTTCTCTCCATAAACAGTTTTCAAAGCTACTGACACATGTGCAAGTATATGGTACAACAGTTTCACACATTCTTAGCTGTAAAAATCTTTTTTCAAATTTTCCTATGTGCAAGTCTAATACATAAGTAGGAAAGAGAATTACTCATCTCTCTCTCGGTAAAGCACAGAAGCAATCTAGACCCTCAAAGACCCTCCACTTTCACTCATGAGGAGAATCTCTGGCCATGCAACACACATGCCTGTCCTCAGTCCTGCACACACAACAGGGACCTGAGGACACAAAGGTGACCAGAGTAGAACCAATCACTGATCACATAGGGCTCTCATCCCAGCTCCTTCATTACAGGTATCTAGGAAAACCAATAATAAATGGATTTCTTGTAACAAAGGCAAAGACCAGATTTACATAACAGAAAGACAGTAAAGGCAGAGAGAAAAAACACAATTTGGGGTCTATGAACTTGGTTTCCTTATCTTGAGTGGGCTGCTGATGAGCTGGCAGATATTAGAGACTGGTTAGTGTTCTGCCCTTGGACAGTTGGATGGACTATCAATAAAAACAAACTGAATTCTTTATGGATTACCCAGAACATCTTTTAATTTATTTTTAATATATTATTAGTAATTTCAGATGTAAGGGAGAGAGAGAGATAGCAACATCAATAATGAGAGAAAATGGATGCCTCCTGCACACCCCCCACTGAGGATCAAGCCGGCTACCCGGGTATGTGCCCTGACTGGGAATTGAACCAGGGCGTGACCACCTGGTTCATAGGTTGATGCTCAACCACTGAGCCACATGGACCAGGCGAATATCTTTTAACTGTGAAGTGTATGCAAGGCTCTCTCTATATAATATCTGTCTCACGCAGCGGTTCTCAACCTGTGGGTCGTGACCCCTTTGGCAGTCAAACGACCCTTTCACAGGGGTCACCTAAGACCATCCTGCATATCAGATATTTACATTACGATTCATAACAGTAGCAACATTACAATTATGAAGTAGCAATGAAAATAATTTTATGGTTGGGTCACAACATGAGGAACTGTATTTAAAGGGCCAGAAGGTTGAGAACCACTACCTTAGAGGTTTCAGCATTCCCCTTATCAGAATTTCTCACTGGTCCCCCCACAAGACATACATATTGTCATTCTTTTCTAATTCTGTGACTTCAATGAGCAAAAAGAGTGAAACACTGCCCAGGGTGGGTGACTCAGTCAGAGTGTTGTCCCACCAAAAGGTGTTGGATTTGATTCCCAGTCAGGGTTTCTGGTGCAATCCCCAGTTGGGGTGTGTACGGGAAGCTGCCAATGGATCTCTCTCTCTCTCTCCCCCTCTCTCTCCCCCTCCGTGTCTCTCTGAAATCAAATTTTTTAAAAAGAAAGAAAGATGATATACTACGGTGTAAATTTTTATTGCTTTGATTAGTAATGAGAGGACACATGTGTTTATCCTTTGCATTTCTACTTTTATTAATTGTTGATCACCTCCTTGGTCCATGTACCTACTCTACATTCAAAATTTTTCTCATCGCTTCTATAATACAATGAAGATGCTTACCCTTATTTTGTGTATTGGGTAAAGAGATTCTCATGATGTGTTTGGTTTAGACTTGGGATTTTTTAAACATGAAATTAATTCATATGAAGTCAAAATCTTTCTAATCTTTCTTTTATGAGTTATCCAACTATCTCTAGTTATAGAAACAATCTTCTTTGTACATACCTTTTGACGCAACAATTGCACTTCGAAAAAAAATGTGCAAAGATGGAAACACAAGGATATTCGTTTCAACAATGCTTATAAAGATAAAGTAAATAACCATATGTCCATTGTGGAGCAGAACAGCATGCATAGGTTATCAGTCCCAGGGAAGGACTTCACCTATCTGGAGGACCATAAAGACCATCACTGTACCAACCCCAGGAGTAGAAGGCCAAATAGTTCTAGCCATTGCGTCTTGGTTTCAGAGTCACCAAGGAAAACACAGTCTAGTCAAGCACTGGATGAAGCAACACTACTTACACAGACAAGAGGCAGATCAAGATCAGCTTCAATAATGCCCATTGTCCCCTATGGATAACAGGTGTCTCCTAGTAGCCAATGCAGGGCAATTCACCTATAGTTTACATCTCTTGTTGACACACATTGGAAAGACCACATATGGAAAGATCACATTCCCTCCCCATGGGGACAGTTATAGTAGGCACCATATGATAAACATCCTCAAGCAGAACAAAGGTGTGCTCAAAGGCGTGTTGAGCTTAAACAGCAAAAGGTATTTCTATCCAAGATTAGATGCCCAGCACAGGCTTTGTGTGAGCTTTTTATCTCTTGGTAAGGAAGTGTTCAAGAATCTTTCTTCTGTGGCCAAGCAGGGTTGGAAAGACCCTACACATAAGACAGCCTTTCCCAACATCCATCTATTGGGGAATGGTATATCACACAATGAGATGCTATGCAATTAATAAAAAGTTAAAATTAAAATTTAGACATAATAATTTCTAGTGAAATATTTGTGTTACAAAACTGCCTTCTTGAAATATTTGGACAAACATGACAGAAGACTCCATCTTTCTTACCAAGCTGTGAATAAATAGGTACTTTTCCTTCAATAAAAAAAACCTCAGAACTTGAGAAAGACATTACTAAAAAATGTTTCAATGAAGTCTCCTTCATTTTCTACTTAGTATAATATCAAGTAAAATTGGATGTTAATTGCACAATTTTCTTAGTTCTCTGCTGCTGGGTTTCTTCCCTTGGTCTCAAGGGTCTGAACATTGGAGAGTCCCTCCCAATGTAAGAGGGGTATGGAAAACAAATTCCTCATTAAAGGAGGATGATGACCACTCCACTGCTCACAACAGACAAGTTATCAAGAGTCTCTTTTTAACCACTGAAATAAGTGACTTCAATGACCCCTAATTACAAATTTTCCTTCCTCGTTTTGGCTGAGGGAGGAGGAAGATAGTAGTATAGACACTCTGGAAAAGAGTTTGGCAGATTCTTATAAAGTTAAACATACACTTATCAAATGACCCAGCAATCCCCCTGGTAAGTATTTGCACAAGACAAATGAAAACACTTCTTGAAAGAAACTCTGAAAGATGGTTGTACAGGAGTTTCTAGTACTTGTCCCTTCCCATAAATATCAATTTGAAAAACTAACCATACACAAAAACCAGTATACTGATGTTTATAGCAACTTTATTTTTCAATTGAATTTTAGAGAGAGAGGGAGAGAGAGGGAGAAAGAGAGAGAAACATTAATATGAAAGCAAAATATCAACCAGTTGACTCCTGCACACCCCCTACTGGGGATCAAGCCGGCAATCTGGGTGTGTGTCCTTACTAGGAATTGAACCAGCAACCTTGCAGTACATGGAAAATGCTCAATCCACTCCAGCCAGGGTGCAACTTTATTTTTAATTGCCATAAACCGTACACAATCCAAATGTCCTTCAATTGGTGAATGGACTTCAATATATCTATATAATAGAATACTACTGAGCAATAAAGAAGAAATGAAGTACTGATACACGTTATGAAATGGATACAGTATGCTATGTGAAAAAATCCAGACTCAAAAGCTTCATACACTATGCTTTCACTATATAAAATTACAGAGAAGGAAAAATAATAGGAGCAGTAAATGGATGTGTGGTTGCCTGGGATTGGGAGTAAGAAGAGAATTTGACTACAAAGGGTGTGGAAGACAGAATTTTGGGGAGTGATATAATTGCTGTCTATCTTGATTGTGATGGTAATTACATGGCTTTATGCATTTGCCAAAACGCATAAAACTGCATGCCAAAAAATGGATTTCCCTATATGTAAATTTAAAAATAAATTTTAAATTACATATGTGGGATGCTCTATTTTCCTATTAAATAATAGCTGCTCTAGAAGAAATATAATGAAAAAGCCAATATGTATCATGTATTCTCAGAACAGAGAGCAATATATAAAAACTAGTGTCCCGGTGCATGAAATTCGTGCACATTAAAAGGGGCTTAATTAGAGGAAATATTTTAATATTGCTATTTGCCTTTTCTCTCTAATAGAAGTGTCAGAGATGAAAGAAAATTAGTAAAATGTATATGAAAATCTTCTTCCTGTCAGTCGGGCACACCATGTGACCCAGAGTCAAGTCCCCACCCACCCATGTGCACCTTGAAATCGCGCGAGACCCAGACCCTCACTATATAAAATTACAGAGAAGGAAAAATAATAGGAGCAGTAAATGGATGTGTGGTTGCCTGGGATAGGGAGTAAGAAGAGAATTTGACTACAAAGGGTGTGGAAGACAGAATTTGGGGGAGTGATATAACTGCTGTCTATCTTGATTGTGATGGTAATTACATGGCTTTATGCATTTGCCAAAACGCATAAAACTGCATGCCAAAAAATGGATTTCCCTATATGTAAATTTAAAAATAAATTTTAAATTACATATGTGGGATGCTCTATTTTCCTATTAAATAATAGCTGCTCTAGAAGAAATATAATGAAAAAGCCAATATGTATCATGTATTCTCAGAACAGAGAGCAATATATAAAAACTAGTGTCCCGGTGCATGAAATTCGTGCACATTAAAAGGGGCTTAATTAGAGGAAATATTTTAATATTGCTATTTGCCTTTTCTCTATAATAGAAGTGTCAGAGATGAAAGAAAATTAGTAAAATGTATATGAAAATCTTCTTCCTGTCAGTCGGGCACACCATGTGACCCAGAGTCAAGTCCCCACCCACCCATGTGCACCTTGAAATCGCGCGAGACCCAGACCAGGCCGTCCCCATCCCCATTGGGCTAGATCCAGACCTGTCTGGTCCCACCCTTGTCAAGCCCTGCCAGGTGGGGTTGCTGCCTTAGGTCCCCTGGCCTGGCACCAGGCAGGGGGTGCAGCCTGAGGTCCCCTGTCAAGCCCCACCAGGTGGGGGGCATGGTCTGAGGTTCCCCCATCAAACCCCACCAGGTGGGGAGCAGCCTCAGACCCCCTGGCCCAGTGCTGGGAGGGTGGCACAGCCTCAGGTCCCCTATCAAGCCCTGCTGGGTGGGGGGGCGCAGCCTGAGGTCCCCCAGCTCAGCACCGAGGCAGGGGGCCCACCTTGAGATCCCCCGTCAATCCACACCAGGTGGGGGGTGCGGCCTCATGTCCCATGGCCCAGAGCCAGGGTGGGGTTGCAGCCTCAGGTCCCCTCGCCCAGTGCCAGGACAGGGGGCACAGCCTGAGGTCCCCCATCAAGCCCCCCTGGGAAGGGGGTGTGGCCTGAGGTCCCCTGTCAAGCCCAGCCAGGCAGGTGGTTCAGCCTCAGGTCCCCCGGCCCAGTGCCAGGGCAGGGTTGTGACCTGAAGTCCCCTGGCCCAGTGCTGGGGCAAGGGGCATGGCCTGAGGTCCCCCATCAAGCCCCACCAGGCCGGGGGCACACCTTGAGGTCCCCTGTCAAGCCCTACCAGGTGGGGTTGCAGCCTCACACACCCTGGCCCAGTGCCCGGGCGGGGGGCACGTCCTGAGGTCTCCCATCAAGCCCTGCTGGGTGGGGGAGTGGCCTGAGGTCCCCTGGCCTGGCACCAGGGCCAGGGGAATGGCCTGAGGTCCTCTGTCAAGCCCCAAAGGGAGGTTGGGGAGTTGCAGGCTCAGGTCCCTGTTGCTGTCAAGCCCAGCCAGGCAGGTGGTGCAGCCTCAGGTCCCCTGGCCCAGTGCCAGGGCGGGGTTGTGGCCTGAGGTCCCCTGGCCCAGTGCTGGGGCAAGGGGCATGGCCTGAGGTCCCCCATCAAGTCCCACCAGGCCGGGGGCACACCTTGAGGTCCTCTGTCAAGCCCTGCCAGGTGGGGTTGCAGCCTCACACACCCTGGCCCAGTGCCCGGGCGGGGGGCACGTCCTGAGGTCTCCCATCAAGCCCTGCTGGGTGGGGGAGTGGCCTGAGGTCCCCTGGCCTGGCACCAGGGCCAGGGGAATGGCCTGAGGTCCTCTGTCAAGCCCCAAAGGGAGGTTGGGGAGTTGCAGGCTCAGGTCCCTGTTGATTGCCCGTTAAGGCTCGTTACAGGAACTTGGCCTCCACTGTGAGTGCAGCCATCTTGTGTTATGGAAACCCCATCTCCACTGTGGGCTAAGCCATCTTGTGTTACGGAACCTCGCCCCTCCAGCCCCCCGCCCCACCTCTGCTGTGGGCACCGCCATCCTCGTGGTGGAGTGAGGGTCAATTTGCATATTCCCTCTTTATTATATAGGATTCTACAAATACCATACTTTTATTTCCTCCCTTTTCATATGTTATAGAAATTAAATATAGGCAAAGAAATGCCTCGGGCTTATAGTAGATTTCCTTAGGAATATTACTGTAAGTTTTATTTTTGGGAAGCACAAAAGACTTGGCTGGAAAGTTTGTAAAAAAGACATTCCAAGAAAAGGGAAGTGTGCAGAAGGGTGCCTGCCCTGTTTATCGGAATTCTGACTTAGGCGGTGCCCCTAATTATTCGTTGACCTTTTGAAACAAGACTATGAACCTGCAGACCCCCATATGTTTATTGGAATCCTTATACTTAATCTCTGGGTGTCCTTGCTTAAAAGACACTACAAACAGGTGTGTCTCCCAATATTACTTACCCAACTGATTTTATCTTAAAGATAAACTTTATCTCAAACTGCTGCTACAATAAAAGCCTAACTATCACGCAATCAAGGCCCTATGGTTCCTTTAGCCAGGCAGTCCCTTAGCCCTCTCTTTCACAGCAAATGTTGTGTCAGAGTAATCCATTCATCTGATGCTCAGGGTCTGCTGGTTAGCCCTGGCATTTTATAAAACTCATATTCTTTCAGATAAAGAAATACAATTACATAGTGAATAGATTTACCTAAACACCAAAACTGCATTTTATATTTTCCAATTTATATAAAATTATACCCATTTACTCACTCATTCGTTCATTCATAATTTACTGTGTATCCATTCTGTTCCAGGCAGTGGATATTTGACAGTGAATAAGATACTACATTCTAGTAAGAGGTTCAGAAGGAAGAAAATTAATGCAAATTAACCCATAAATAAAAGCTTGCAATAGAAGAATAAGAGGGTGGCCAGGAAATACCTCTTTGAAGAAACTCTGTAAGTTGGTGATATAGGAGTTTTCAATACATGTCCCCTCCCAGAAATATCAATTTGAACAACTAACCACAGACAAAAATATCTTCACAAGACCTTAGATTCTAAGTGAGAGGTTACAGCACCTGTGTGGGGCAGAGAAATAAGAAAAGATGCATTGAGGTGAGTATGAAAGACAGTTTTGCATTATCCCCTTCACCCCAGAAA